CAGCAGCAGCAGCAGCTGCTGCTGCTGCTGCTGCTGCTGCTGCAGGGTTTGAAATGGACCCTCTTCAAGGAGGACCGCTGCAGCGCTCCCGCGGGAAAGCAGCAGCTGCTGCTGCTGCTTGCACAGAAATAAGAGTTTTATTTATTTGAAATAATTAAAATCGAGCTGCTGCAGCAACATACTTGCTGCGGGGGTCTTCGTTGGTATGCGTGTGTTGTGTGTATCAGCAGCAGCAGCAGTAGCAGCAGCTGCTGCTGCTGCTGCTGCTTCATTACCCCGCTGAAATTTGCTGCAAATAAAATGGGGCAAATCTAAAATGAATTAAAAATTAGCTTTTAACAAATTGCTGCAGTAAACTCCCCACGGCAAGCAGCAGCAGCAGCAGCAGCAGCAAAACCAGACACGAGTGGGTAATCGATTGGGTTTGGTGCTGCTGCAGCAGCAGCAGCAGCTGCTGCTGCTGCAGCACTTCTATTTTTTGAGTATCTCATTTAAAATTAAATTTATTTTGGCACTAAAAGGAAGCAAAAGGAGGCGCTGCTGCTGCTGCTGCTGCAGCGGAGCAGCAGACCTGCACACAGCAGCAGCAGCGAGAGTTCATTCAATGATATTTTACACAAAAAGAGTTTGCTGCTGCTGCTCTTTGCTGCTGCTGCTGCTGTTCGTTGCTGCTGCGGCGGAAACAGCGACAGTACCTCCGCTCCTGCAGCAGAGTCAACATAATAGACGTTTCTGTTGTTGCTGCCGCTCCTGCTGTTGCTGCTGCTGCTGTTGCTCCTGCTGCTGCTATCCTTTTCGAAAATTAAATTAAAGGTACCCGAGCCATCCTGCTGCCCTGCAACAAACTGCTGCTGCTGCAGCTACTGCTGCTACTTCGGCTGCCCCCGCTGCTACCGCCGCCGCTGCTGCTGCTGCTGCTACAACTGCTGCTGCTGCTACTATTGCTGCTGCTTCTACTACTACTACTAGTACTGCTGCTGCTGCTGCTGCTGCTGCTGCTTCTCTTTGAAAAGCGCTAATAAGTGCCACCTGAGGCTCCTTTTTAAATTTGTTTATTTGTTTTTACTTATTTTAAATTAGCCTTTTACTATTTGAACATTTTGCTGCTGAGTTTTCCAATCATTCGTTGCTTCAGGTGTACGTACACCTCAGTCTCTCTCTATTGCAGGGCTCTTTCGAGAGCCGCTGCTGCTGTTGCTGTTGCTGCTGCTGTTGCTGTTGCTGCTGCTGTTGCTGTTGCTGTTGCTGCTATTCTTGCTGCTGTTGTTGCAGCTACGACTGGCGTTGCTGCTGCTGCTGTTGTTGCTGCTGTTGCTGCCTCCCTTGACGGCGTCGCCGCTTTTGCCAACATTGCTGCTGTTGCCAGTGCTGCTGGTGCTGCTGCTGCTGTCAGCAGCAGGTGTTGCTGCACTACAAAGAGCAGCAAACTCCTCAACTATTCGCCGCAGCAGCTGCTGCTTCTGCTGCAGCGCCCGCAGCCGATTTGCTGCTTGCTGGTGTTGCTGCTCCGCCTGTATGTACACCCCAGCGCATGCAAGCAGCAGCAAATAAAACGGTGCAGCAAACAGTAGCAGAAGCAGCAGCAGCAGCAGTAATCCTCATCGCAGCAGCAGCAAAGGTTAAAGCAGCAGACGCAGCAGCGACGGGAATCGCAGCGAAGCAACGGCAGCTGCAGCTGCCGGACAACCAACGGCCGCAGCAGCAGCAATCGCAGCAGCAGCAGCAGCAGCAGAATTAGCAGCAGCAACTACTCACGAGCATGCGGCGTTTCTCAGCTGCAGCAACTGCTGCGACGTGCTGCTGCCGCTGCCGCAGCTCTTTGGTCAAGAAGTGTAGCAGCCTGTCATGAAAGGCCTCTTCTGCTGCTGCTGCTGCTGCTGCGACTGCTGCTGCGTCAGCTGCAGCACAGGGAGCAGCAGCTGCTTTTGCTGCTGCTGCAGCTACATCATCCGCAGACACAGCAGCAGCAAGTTTATAAAGAGCAACAGCAAGAGGAAGGTCACCGGAAGCCTCAGCTGCGGGCTCTTCTGCTTTTACTCCCACACTGCTGCTGCTGCTGCTGCTGTCGCTGCTGCTGCTGTCTTCGAGCTGCTCGCGCAGCTGCTGCAGCAGGGCCTGTGCATGCGCAGCAGGGCGGCGCAGCAGCAGCAGTACACAGCCCCACAGCAGCGCGTGCTGATAAGCTGTTTCTCTTTCTGCTGCTGCAGCATGGGCCCTGTACTGAGCAGCAGCAGCAACAACTGCTTCCTGCTGCTGCTGCTGCAGACACATCAAACGGTGGCAGCGCCGCAGCTCCATTATTGCAGCAGGAAGGCTGTGCTGCTGCGTCTCGTTGAGGGCGCGCACTGTAGCCCGCATCTCCTCTGACATGC